AGAAAATATTGAAGAACAAATAACTGTTGGATTTACCTGAGGCAGAGGCATTTAACAAAGATTCCAGCTTGCTTTCTATACTTAAGTTACTAATAAATCAAAATACTTCATTTATATATGATTTCATATGACTTTAATCACATAATAACAAGCTTCTATGGTGTAGTACTGAGATTAATAGTATTTTTATGCTGTGTATCTAGTCTAATTTGATTTGTTATTGATAATTTTAGTAGAACCAGTTTATTTTATAAATCAGTATTCTAAATAAGAGTTTTTCTTGAATTATATGGTTATATTACCAAAAGAATGTAAAAATAGGTATCTGAGGGCTAAAAAAAGATTTTTTTTTTTTTAAAGCATAACACTAGGCCAGTAGAGGGCTCTCCATGTTAGTCTGCAAGGTCAGATAAAACTATCTGTAGGATATGGAAAAGGTGTTGCTAAAAATATTAGAATTTTGAATCACATAGAGAATTGAAATATCATTAAAATTGATTTAAAAATGTCAGAACAGTTTATAAAAGGTAATATAAGGAAAATACTAAGTGGGTATAATAAATATAGATGGTAAGCTTTTTTCTATGAACTAGATATAGAAATCTAATAAAATGGCAAAGGATAGAAGAAATAAGGTGATAATAAAACATTTCTTTAGCAAAATAATTTTTATCTGGGATCTTAACATTAATTTTTTATGTATAGAATTTTCTGTATTTCATAAAATTTTTATTTTCTGTTTCACAAAATTTTTGTTTCATAATTTGAATAATTCCATTAGTACATTTGAAAAACAAAGTTAGACTTCTATTCTGCATATTCTAAAGTGAAGTCAATTTGTAAAATTTATAAAATTTTATTAATTTATAGATGGAAAACATTCTTTAAGTAATTTCCATTTGACTATTAAAAACTTAATAAGATTATAAGATTAATTAAGATGTCTCCTTAAAAGTAGATATTACTACACATCTCATTGCTGGACACAAGAACCATGTGTTTTCCTAAAACTGAAAACTTTTCAGATAATTTTTATGATTGATAGAGAGCAGTTTATACTTAGAAATTTTGGGTTAAACCATATTAAGTTTAAATCTACATATTAAGTTTAAATCTACAGTTAGAAGGTCTTATGGGAAAAATAAATATGAAGGAACTGTTTTTTCTTTTGTTGTTGAAGAGGTTTCTTTTTTCCATATACATGTATACCTTGAAAATATCAACTTAATGAAATGTATTTTTAAACTTTATTAATGAATTGTTCTATCCTTTTTCTTTCCATTTGTGTCATTTTCTTCTATTTTTCATTTATTTTTTTTCTGCTACCAAGTCCTTTGGTTCTGATAAGCATTTAATAAGTAAGTTCCACCTTTACAGACAAGCCTGTTTTATAAACCATTAATCATCTAATGTGTTAAATGTTGGAGGCACAAGTGTAAAGAACAATGTATATCTTCATGGATCTCAAATCCTGTAGAAGGAGACTATATACAAAATTTATCCATTTACATTAAAATTATTTGTATTCACTATGGAAAAGATATTATTTCAGCTCTAGTAATATAAATGTGAATAAATTTGGTTTTGCTTGAAAGAATGTGTACTCTTAAAAGAAACAAAGGCAAACAACAGACTATTGTCAAATGTTGGAAGTACCCAAAGTGGTTATATATGAAGTTCTGTGAGAACACCTACTGAGAATGTATAAATTAATCTTCCAATAGTCAGAGTAGTCTCACTGTTGGAAGTGATATCTAATCTGAGAACCAATGAACTAAATGAATTTAGCCAGGTGAAAGGAGTAGCAGAACAGTGTTTGAGGCACACTGTACAAGATGTGAAGAGGCCCAGAGGAGTGAGGGGAAATGAAGCATTTGGAAAACTACAAATTATTCTGTATGGATGAAGTTTAAAATGAGAGAAAAGTAGTCTTAACAGATGTGGTTGAAGGGGTAAGTAGAGGCCACATGTTATCAAAGACCTGAGACAGTAAAGGGCCTATCTTTCTCGGGTTTGCTGTATTAATATTATTTAACACCCTCTTTTACTCTCCAAAGTATCCAAGTTTGGTTACTTTGATAGCATAATGTTGATTATATTTAAGATAGATGGTACTACAGATAGGGAAACCAGTCAGGAAGGTAAATCAGAAGCCCAAAGGTTTAGTAAACACCCAAATTTTAAAACAGTGCTCAGGATGAAAGGAAGAGTATTTATTAAACATGTTTGACCAAGTATAGTCAAATGAACCAGATGTAGTGACTTATTTATGTGATGAGTGATAGATAATGATTGCCTATTATCTGATGGGACAGTTATTTATAGTATCAGTGATCACAATGGAGACTATTATGTTACAAATAGGTTTAGATAAGAAAAATAATTAAATTTTCATGTTGTCAGTTTTGGGTTGAGAATGATGTTGATTTTCATGATTGAAGGTCTGAGCCAGAGGTGAAAGATTTAGGTGTCCTTAGTTTAAGTGTGTGATGGTTGAAGCCTTGTGCATGATTATGTATTCAAGGAAATGTTTGTGCAATGAGAAGAAGTGGCATCTGGAACTAAAGGCAGGGAAGAACAGTAGTTTGGAGGATAGTAAAAGAGCACAATTTGTGATGAAGCCTGGGGCAGGGGAGCTATGATAGAACTGAAGGAAAGAAAGTATTTCTCCACAGAGAGGAAGTGATTGTATGTATGAAATTTAGAGAAGGTAGATAAATGCTGAAAAGATTGTTACTAAATGTAGAAATTAAAACATTCTGACCTTAGATTTCTTTATGATTAATTTTATGTAAAATTTCAATTATAATTTGTCTTGCTTACAGAACCCATTTTTGTGGTGCAGATTTTTTTCTTACACAGTTGATAAAGTATAGTTTTCAAGTCTCTGGTTCATATGTGCTTTTTAATTTTCATTTTGTTTTGTTTTCAGGCAGGGGGGAGGAGGTTACACTAGTGTAAGAAGTAAAATTGGAATCTTTGATTATTATTTCTAACCAGCCATGTGTCCTGTGTAACTACTTCTCTGAAGATTTTCACTCCAGAAAAAGTAGACTTCAAAGCAAGGAAAGTTATTGGGAATTAACAAAATGGTCAATATTCTAAAAAGACAGAACAATACTTAAGATGTTATGTAATTAACAATAAGATGTCAAAATACATGAAAGAAAAAACTTATGGAACTACAAGAAGAAATAGATAAATCCATTGGTTGAAGATTTTAACAACTTTCTATAAGAAATGGAAAGACCCAAAAGGGGAAAAAAAATTCAAAGAAGA